AAAAATCACCGCATGTGCTTACAAAATGTTCTTAGATTTTATCATTTTTTATTAGTTTAGATCGTTCAGGCAATGTTCTTGAATAGTTTGTAGATGAATTTATTGTATGCAGTTTTGCGTCTGTGTGTGTGCGTGTGTGTCTGTGAGTGTGTGGTTTTTATGTGCTAGTAGTTTCTTCAGAGTTTGCCTTGCATATATTGCATGTGTTTTCAGTATTCCTATCGCAACATAGGCTCGAATGTTCCTTTTTTACTTAGTTAAAACGAAATGTCTGTCAAAACATGTGCAGATTTTAAATGGCATTATTGCTTTAATTTGGATAGATGTACAACAAACATTGCATGTTTGATATATAGATGAAATGATTGCGTGAAGATACAATTATTCATTAAAACGATTATTTCAAATTAATCATTCATTGGAACTGTTGAATTAATCACAAATTTGAATTGCGTTTACCAAAATATCCAAATATTTTTCTAAATAAACACTTTTATATGTTTTCTTAATACGCAGTTAATGTTGAAACGTTGTTCCCATGTGTTTTCATGTTATCGCAAGTTTTGCTGCGTCGTTAATTAATCATCGTTTAAACCTCAGAATCGTCGCAATCAATATTATTACGTTAATATGAATGTATGCAAGATGGCGCTTAACACGCTGAGTGTAGTTTGTTATAGTCGACTTTGCTTAAATACTTTACACAGGCTACCACTCTCTTGTCCAATGTTCGCGATTGTTTTGTTTTGCCTTACAAGTTTTCCTGGTTACATTTTATTTTTTGATGAAAATATTTAACATGTTGTTTCACGTCCTAATAAAAATTTTTAAATTTTTTTATCTCTCCTCGTTTTGCTTTTTTAATAAACCGACAAAATATCGATTCAAATAAACTTTATGCAACTTAAAATTGTTGGCATACAATTTATTTGTTTATTTAGCTTAGAACTTGAAACAACTCACAGAATTTTGACACATTAATATCAATCTTTATGAATCTTGAAACGGCATTTCTATACAATTTTGTTCTCCTAAGCTCTAGCTGAAGAGAACAAAAATTTAGTTTTGTAACACCAGAAAGACTAATTTATTCTAATACCAAATAAAAAAAAATATGTCAGCTGTACAATATTCTTCAAAGAATTCATTTTATATAGTTGTCAAAAAATAAATCAAACTTAAAATAAGAAATATAATTTTCAGACTAAAATGTGGTCCGACAAGAAACTAGGTTTCCTCGAGTCGTTAAAAGCATGTATGTTATGTTATCCCAAGTTAATCATAAGGCTCACATGTATTTGAATGGTTTCAACTCAGAAAAGGATGAAGAGAAAAAATTAAACTTGCATTTTAAAAAACGGAGTGATATTTTCTCAACTTAATTAATTTTGTTGAATTGGTTGTGATGTCACTGTTTATGTTTCAAATAAAAACAAGAATGCTTATTAGCAATGATCATCTTTTTTTCTCTCTTCTTTCTGAAACTTCATGCAGGTTAATAATTATATTTCACGGAAAGGCGTATTGTTTCAATAGCGCGCATAATGAGAACTGCAGTGACTAGTTTTGAAGGCAGAATCGTCCGCCTGAGCTAAGGAATTACAGTCTTCCAAACTTAGCATAAATTGATTAATTTGAAGTGCAGTCAAAAAATAAACATCTAACTAATGATTCTTGTAAATTTCTCGGTAAAGAAGTCCAGCAAGTTTTTACGCTGGTGGTTTTAGTCATTTCATCGCAGAGCATAATAATTTATTTATTTATTTGACTGATTTAACTACAACTTTTTTATGAAATCCATTGCCAACAGAAAAAACATTCATTTTGTCATACTATGATATTAACAAGAGCGAAATTGTTCCAAATTACAGAGAAGTATTTTTTCAAACCTATGATTAATTTTACAAAAAAGTTTTTTTTTAAATTGTTTATTGCCTAGATTATTAGCGCTGGCTCCACCATAACCATTGCAGCGTGGAAAAACAACGCAATTCAATTTTGGCTAAATTTAAAAGCAGATAGGTGAACTATTTTTAATTATTTGGTATTCCAAATTTTGATGTTTTTATTCAAAATAGGTCAACAAGCTATTTAACCACAAGTACTTCAATTCAACTGGTTTATTATGCAATTGCATTACGCTATCTAGCCTTAATTTTTAAATCAATCTATCAATGAAAATATTTTCAAAGCGCCGTTCCCGTGTTGTTCAACCAGAGTGTCGGAGTTGAAATTTTCCGAGGGGCGTGGGTCGGAATTGAATATTTTTCATCCGACTCCAACATCCTGTGTTAAGCAGCGCTACTATTTGAATATTGCAAAAACGGGTGGCCTTGAAATCCGCCTAAACTTTGTAAGTGATGGAGAAATAGTTAGAAAGAAAAAAAAAGTTTCAGAAAAACGGACCATAAAAGCAAAAGTAATTTTTCAGCAAGGTTTGAAATGCGTTACCTCTCAAGTTGAGACAATGTCTTTTCAAAGAGACTAGTATCATCTTTTCGAAATATACACGCAGACTCGAGGCTTTTTGGATGCAGAGTAGCGAATTGACAATATATTAATGAATATTAATTTTATTTACTTAGAAAAATTATGTTTATCTATAACAAAACAATTTAATTTTTCGTTCACTAGAAACGTACTGCAGTCATCGTATGACAAGTTTGAAAATGATGACGATGCAATAGGAAAGAAATTTCCTAACAATGTACATAAGTTTATGCCCTTCAATTATTTTTAAAATGAATTGAGTTTACCACTGATTGTAACGAATAATAATAATTATTATTATTATTATTATTAACAATGATGATAATAAAAAGTTAATCACAATTTAGAAGTTAGAGGTGAGTTGTCTGTATTCTGGGACGATAGCCAACAATGTTTCAAATTTTGTCGTAATTTCTTTCTGCCCCGAGATAAGGTTTTCACATTTATACATAAAATAAAAAATTTTGTTATGTTTTTTTTCTAATGCAGAGGAATTTTCACCAGAAATGAAGAGATATACGAAGTTACATCAATTCGACCGAATGAGTTTAAATCCGTTCTTATAAGTAAGAAGGATGACAGAGTGAAATTCAGATGTGGTAAGACAATAATTTTATCATACATTTTAAAAATTTCAATAAATATTCTATTCATAGAATCAGGCTTGTCATAAAAATTGCTGAACATGAGTTTGTATGTGACGAATACAATGAACGTTTTCAAATTGACTGAAAATAACGGCACAACCTATTTTGTAACAATTAACGTTCATCTTTCATTGAAAATCTTTGTTTCAATTTTTCGAAAATAATTTGTAAAATAAATTTTGATATTTTGAGCTTATAAAGGTTAAAAGTACTTTTAATACGAGAAACGTTTAAACGATTATGTAAGCAAGTACATATTTTTATGAGAATTTTTAGAGGGTAAGTGTTGTAACTCACCGTCACCTGCATTGCATTGTACCTCTAAAATGTGTGGACTTAAAAAATTATTATGATGTGATTCTTGGTAGTTTATCAATGATAATATGAGCATTTATATAGCGCTGATTTGCACAGTATCGTATACCTATTATGTTTCAAGCATCTTTCTCTATATAAATTAATTAGGAGTGCCTCAAGAGAATATCTTGGAATGGGCGAAGTTGAGAAGATTAAAAGTACCCTTAAATTTTATATTGAATATTTGTTTTGTTTGTTTGTTGCCAGGACAAAACTGATTAATTTGGCTAATTTTTAAATTTTTGATTTTTTTTTTAAAGAGAAACTATAAAAGTGCTAATTCAATAAAAATGCCAATAGCTAGAAACGTCAAAGTCTATTTTGTCATGGATTACAGTTTAGTTAGTCTAAACATTTCAAATTCCTACCAACTTGATCATAAGCATATATGATTTAGTTGAACAATTCTAATTTAAATTTTTTTTAAGATTATTTTTTAAATTGAATTCACAATATCAGCAGACAATAAAAGGTGAGAATCGTAATAATGAATCATTGCAAGATCTTCTAGTGGCTTTCGGTGTGGCCAATCAGGTGCTCATTAACTCTCAACAATAAGAAAGTCATTGCCTAATTTTGTTGACTCATTTGCAGTTTTATCAAAGATTGAATATGTACATTACCATTGTTGGATTTGAAATCTGGAAAAAGAAGATGATTTCACTGACGAAGAACGGGAATATACTGATGAACATTTGGATAAAGTATCTCAACAAAAACATTGCCCCAAAAGTTCCCTTTTACGATACAGCTATCTTATTTGTGTACGGTTATAAACTTCAATATCCTCACTTGATTTCACTAAAATAAGTCTTTTTTCAAAAATCATTCCAGAAGTTATCCCTATTTTGAAATGGCTTTGGCAACAGTTGGACAAATGTGCTCTGACGAAAGTGCTGTGTGGATATCTGTACGTTAAATTTTATTTTATTTGTTTATTTTTAATTACCAGCTGAAGTGCAAATGAAATTAAAATTTTGAATAATTAAAAGTTTTTCCGAATAAGGCGAATTCACGTTCAATATTCCTGATCGGATTGGCAATAGCTCACGAGATAGGACACAACTTGGGTCTGAGACATGTGGAGGACACGGCAGGCTGTCTTTGTGCAGATCAACATTGCATAATGAATAAAAAAGCATCGTTAGTAAAAAATATCAAAATTTAACTTTTCAAAATTGTTTTGATTTTAATTCTGGCAATTTTTTTTACTTTAAAAAGTAGCCTAAGTTTTCAAAACTTTTCAAAAATTGGTCAGTCATCCAATGAACTGAGAAATTTTTTTGAACTTTTCTGATGAAAATCCATAAATTAGTTTTTAAGTAATTTTAGTTATTGAAATTTTTAGCATTAACAAATAATTTGCTGAAACAAATTTGTTTTCATTATGAAAAAAGGCAAAAAAATAATCACTGGTCAAAATGTTCCGTCAAAAAAATCAAAGAAATGCGAAAAGAAATGAAGTGTCTCAATCAACTGCCAGTGAGGAAATATCAGCAAATTAAATGTGGCAACGGACTTCTGGAGGCAGGGGAGGAATGCGATTGCGGAGAACTTCCAAACAATGTATGTACCTACTTACCTACCTACCTAACTTCCTACCTATTATTCTGCAAACCCTGTTTCTGTCATCAGTTCCATCACTAAATCGAAAAACCCACCATGTTTACCTACCTACTGGCTGTTTATTGAAATTTTTTCAACATTTCTTCTAAGCAGTAACTCCAAAAAAATTTTCTGAAAATTTTGTAATTTATTAGATTTCACTTCAATAAACGTTTTTGAAACAGTTTTAAAATATTTTTGAACAGTTCGAAAGTTCAGAGAATGTTAATTCCGTTAATTCACAAATATTAATTCTAACAACGAAATTTAAACAGCAATGAAAACAACAATATAGATTTGTTCTCCAGTGTGTTGCAACGTGGAGACATGTAAGTTGAAAAATGGATCCATGTGTGCCACTGGAGGTTGCTGTCACTTGCGGGCCTGCAAAGTTTGTATATCAGCTGCAGTCGTTGTAAATGGAACTCTTTATTTTATGAAGCAATCGCAAAAAAATATCACCAAAAAATATTTTCAATCTAAAATCTGCAAATCGTGAACTTTGGCTTAATAAAAAAAATTGAAATATTTTAAACATTCTACGCATTGCAAAAATTTTCAGTATAATAAATAAAAAACACGTTAGATTAAGTCGAACGGAAGCTTATGCAGGAGTCCTCAAAATGAATGCGACCTGCAAGACCTCTGCGATGGCCAGAGAGCTGCATGTTTAGACGCCTTTAAGAAGAATGGACACATGTGCTCGGTAAAAATGGACATTTTTTTTAACATAACATTTCAAGTTAAAAATTTTTTTGAAGAAGCGCAATTTTTGCTACAACGGCAAATGCCAGTCAAGAGACGACGCCTGTGCTGATTTGTGGAAGCTGCCTTACGCCAAGTCATCTCCGAAAATTTGGTACCAGAGGAACGCATCGCCGAACGATGATTATTTCAACTGCGGTTTTGACAGACTGACAAACAGACCAACTGCATGTTCACCTGAGTAAATGATCATTGTTATTAAAATAATAAATTTTTTTCCAGCATTGAAAAAAATTGCCATGACAAATTATTTTGAGAAAATAATAACAACATTTTCTTGCTGACGTGTTTGTGAGTTTTCGTACAGTTCAGATAACGTTAATGAGATTTTATATATTTGTCTTACATTTAGAAGTACAACTAACAAAAGTCAAATAACATTTTTTAATTTTTTTAATATCTATTGAGATGCCTAACTTGTAAAATTATTTTAGATGAAAAGAAATATGTCTTTTTTTCATTATTTACAGTATTTTTTAACTCAATAATGTCACTAACCTAAAAATTTATTAACTAACTGATAAATCAATGCATAATATACTCGGTACGAATAATTTTTTCATTGAAATTTAATTCGGATCTAACTTCAAACTATTTAAAACGAATTCAAACTAAACTGATAAACTAACGAACCAGCGATGCTTACTGTGGCAGACTGGTATGCAACATGATCGATCGCGAGCCACATGGTGTCGAGGGCAAAGTAATAGACAGGAAAATCATTGTCACCAAGGTTGGGAGTAAAAATATGGAAAGCAATCCCTCCTACACGCCTAATGGAGTGAGGTGTGGTCTCACCAAAGTAACTTACTCCAGCTTTTGCTTCGTCGTTTGAAATGTGGTTTTAATCACACTCTGTTATTTTTATTCATGAAAGTGTTCACTCATATGGTACATGTATTATTACGATATTAAATTTTATGCTTTTTTATACGCACACAAACACACACACATACACACACACTCACAAATGCATACATTCATGCATTTGTAAAGTTAGGTAGTAATTCTTCTTATTAACATAATTTATTAAAGATTGATCGCTGCAATAACTGTTTATCATTAATGTTTGACAAATTCAGTAAATTTCTTAAAGTCAAGTTAGGAGATTTGATTCGACGTTTCGACACAAACTTAAGCCATCATCAGGAATGAATTAAGTGTGGAATGTGTTGCTTATATGTCTTTGGTAGCAGCAATCGATTTCAATAAATTACAAACATGTATTTGTTTATAGAGCTCTATATATTCATTACTTGGAATATCCATTTCAGATTTGTTACCAGCAACGGTGCATTTCTAGAGGAAAATTTTTGGAAAGCTTGCCAGTTCAAAGTTACGAAACAGTTTACAACATGTACAATAGAAGTCATGCACCATCAATACAGTCCATCTCTTTTTTCATATTTTCAACATCAACAATTACAATTATTTTTTAACCTTTTAACGTAAACGTGTTCCATTTGTTTCTGTTTTTTTGTTTTTTTCTATCATTCGCCGCGTTTTGTTTGACTGCATCATAAAAATTGAAAAAAAAGTTTTCAATATTTTTTGAGCTCCGACTTCCATTTTGTTTTGTGTGAGCCCAATGATGAAAATCTTTACAAATCACGACCTTTACTAAACCAGGCCTTTAAAACCTACGCATGACTGCATCACTCTAACGTTTGAAATATTTTGGATATTGATAAAATAGGAAAACTTGACAAATAACCGTTCACTTTTGTGAAGATTCATAAATTTATATCAATACTTCAGTTGAGAACTTCATAGAAAGTTTTAATGAAAGTGACATTGATGTTTCTAGCTATGTAATTTATAGTTGTCACGTTATACTACGAGCATTTGAATACTTAATAAAGTTGAGACCTCTTGAACTGCATGATAATGCAATCCTGTAAATAATATTATCTTCAAAATCTTTCTTCAACCCTTCTCAAAGTTTATACTCATGCCTTCACATAAGAAAATCCTCTGGTATGAGTTTTTACAGAACCTAAACAGTACATGCAACACATTATAAAATTTTCAACAGTTACAAATCTTTAATTTACAAGCTGCTTTCTAGCAATTCTAAAATGCCAACTTTTGATTTAATTTAACGTTTGTCTAACATCATGCGGCTCATCTTGATATGAACATATCACTCAGAAGAGTTTCAAACCATAGGCGAGAGAACGGTGTCACATTCAGCATTTAGTAGTTCCAATCAAATAAGAAAATGATATACTTGAAAACTTGCAAAATTGTTTTAACTACAAAATAAGCAATGTTGAGCTAGTAAATAAGCATGAGAAAAATGTCTGTTTACAACTAATTGATCAAGTTTCTTAAATTGATTAATATAGCAATGTTTTTCTAAAAGTAGTCTAGAATGTAAACTTTTCAAAACAATCTGGTCCCTTGGTCTTCATGCTGCGCAAAAAATACAAATAATAATTATGATATTTTATTTTGCCGTTAATTTTTTTACCAAAAATAGAAAAAAACAATTTGGAAACTAACGACAACACTGAGGGCAGGCCACTTCCCATGTTTGCCCCGAGCTGGTGGAGTAAAAACCAGTTGCTTGGGTTCCTGAAATGCAAAGATTTTTGGTGTATAATTTTTCTTAAATTTAAATCAAAGAACAAAATGAATTTTTGTTCTACGATTATTCGCTCATAATATATTTTACAAATGTTACAATAATATAAATTAAAGATATTTCGTATACAACACACACACACACAACTCCGTAACTATTAAGTATTAATATATAATTTAATTTACATAGAGGTGAAATTTTGTTAACCTGGCTCGTAGTAGCGGTAGACCTTAACAAGAGCAGGCTTGACGTTTGCAATCTTCAACTCCTCCACCATCCCAACAGTAAATTTTAATGGTTTCGCATTGAGCTTTGTGTTAATTAATATCAAGTTATTTAAGTTAAGTTAATATTGTTATGAATTTAAATCTAAAAAAGCAAATTGATAAACATTTTTTTTGTGATTTATTAACAATATATACCTATAATTATATTGTGTAATAAAATAATTAATTTGCAGCCGTCGTTAATTTTGTTTTGCTAGAAAATAACCATAAAAAATTATTAATATTTCATGCATTAACATGATAAACATTTATAGTGATACTATGGGAATAATTTTTAATAAAACAATATTTTTATTGTTTTCTATGTGAATGTTTGGATTATTGATAAAAAATAATTAAAATTTTCTGTTAAGCAAACTTCAACACAAAATTTTAAATAAATGTTGACATCATTGTGAATTTGATGAAATTATTCTGCTATACTGTTAAAAATTTGAAAAAAAAGTTACTATAGCACACCTCATCCAAGTAGATGACAACTTTGTTCGAGCTCTTCTCAACCTTCTTGAATGTACTTCCAATCTGTTGGATGAAGTTTCCATCATCGAGCAGGGAGTAACCAGTTAGGATGTTTATTTCCACGACTACCATTCCCGTCACTTCAGATCCATTCCAACTGAAGAATGTTTCAAATGAAACATTATTTATTTTATTATACAACAGGTTAATGTTTGATAAAAGATTACTGATGAAAGTATAAATTCAAAGTATATTCTGAAGTTTTAGTTTTGAAAATCGCACCTAGCTGTCAGAGTCAGATTCAAAGTTTTATTCAAAGTTGTGGTCGATAGGTCGAGGAGGAGAAATTGATTCTTGTTTGCGTTGTTTACGTTGTATCTCACATTCAACTGTTAGTTATAAAGGCGATATGATTATTTTTCAAACGTTCATAAGTACTTCATGCTGATCAATAAATCAGACGAAATGTAATGTCAGTCAAAGTGGATTAATTTAAATAATTTCCAACCTTACACTATGGTAATAAAAAAAATTACTATTACTCTAAAAGATTAACAATGTTGTTATAGCTAGCTAATACAATTATTTCAAGTATTAGGAAATATAACATATCTATTTAAAATATTTTAAACGCCAAAATATCAAAGTAGATGTTTAAACGCATTACCTGAACAAGAGCAGCACCGTCACCTGTCGCTATCACCTTCACTGAATTTATCGTTTGTGGGAGCTGTCGTTGGAAATATTCAGCAAAGAATTAGTATTATACTACCCCGTTTGTTATATTATTCACATCGGCTGCTCAATTTTATATATTGCTAATTTCCTTTCTATATATATATATATATTCTCCATATATGTATCTGAACGGTGACCAGCATCTCACGATACAAGATATATCATCATTGCAACATTCCTTCATTATAGTAATTCATCATTATAGTATTTCATCATCATAACATTTCATTCCTAATGTGATCTTAAGATCATGGGATCCGCCACTGGGCGCTAGTAAAAGCTTCAACGGGTGACCACAAATTGTACGTCAAGTTATGCGCCTAAAGAGTTGAACTAAAATCCATTTGAAAGTTTGTGATTAAAGCAGATGCAGGATGAGTTTTTCAAATATTTACAACTGATATACGCTTTGAACATTTATTTTGAAAAATTTTTTAATCAGTACATGCAATTTTGTAATTTAATTAAAATTTTACAAATTTTACAATTTAAACTTTTTAGTTCAAGATCATTATTGTTCAACGTTTATTAACCAAAAAAACTATGGTGATAAATTTAGCCAAATGATTTCATAATAAAATGGCGCTATTGCTATTGTATCATTGCTCTTATTTAATGAAAAATAAATCATTTAGATAAAATAACAAACAATTTTTTGTGCAGAATTCATTTTGCTTTTGTTAAATGAATGAGTGACTTTAATAAAGTCAGTATGAAGAAGAAAAGCAAGAAATAAACACGTTGAAAAACAAATGAAAATGTTGTCTAGCCTGAACTGACTGCACAAATAAAGCATTTTCTTTGGTTATGGAATCAAACGTGTTAACGTAAGATCCACTATTGGCAGATACAGTTACAGTGATTCCAGTCCCTCCACTTCCCGAAACAAGTGTTGCAAAAGAGGCCAGTGCTTCTAAACCTAAGACCGTGTCCTGGTTGAATAATTAACTTTTTCAGAATTATTAGGAAATCTATTTGAACGAAATTTAAACTTATCATACGTCTCTGTGTTAACATTAAAAATTTAATATAGAACGCTGTTCAATGTGTGCCATTCTCTAAAAAATTAAATCAAACAGTATATTGGAATCATCAGACTTGAAAAAAAATTTATACCTGAGTAGATGAAAACCCTCCGAAAGCATTCCTTTGCTTTATCAACCATTTCAAAATTGGCAATGATTTAGAAATATCTTTTTTCTCCGCATAGACCATCAAGACATAGGAAGCAATTTCAATATTGTATGACTTGGCTTGCGAATAAGGTCCTCTCCAGATGCCTTCAGAGGTACTTTCAATCACATCTTTCTTCCAGTACGTCACTCCATCTGAAGACGATGGAAGATCAAATCAATAAAGTGCATTACACATTATTCGTTCGTTCGTGTGATGTTTACAACACTGACCTTTGTTGATTGCCAGCTTGTCAAGCAGTGCCAGAGTATCAGTCAGCTTTAAGCTTCCAGACTTGTGGAGGGCGTATGAAATGATGGCTAGAGCATAGGGATCGTTGGAATACGAATGGAAATTGTTCTCCAAATACTTGTTGGCGTTGTTGATGGAATTTGCTAGTCTTGTCGGATTTTTCTATTGAATCAATTCATTTAATGTAATGTTATGATATCTCATTTTAATATTTCAATAAACAAATCTGACCAAAGTAATATTCCTATTTTCAAGTAAGGCAATCAAGATATATGCAGTCAGAGCAATTCCTGCCGATGAACCTCCCTACACAAAATTTTCGAAGAATAATTGAAATTTATACATACACATTAATCTTTTGATCATTAATTAACTTACCTGCATATCTGTATGGATGACTTTTCCCTCTGGAGGTTCTGCAAAAGTTCCATCAGTTCCCTGCAATCCAATTATCCATTCCATCGTTGCTGCTATTTTGCTGTCTTCAACTGGAATGTACTCTTTTGCTTGGTGGAAACATTTGATAACAAATGAACTCAGCCTGTGAAATCATTAAACAACAATTTTCAACAACACATAAATGCATTTGAGAAAAATTCCAATCTCTAACCAAACGCTTCCGGCTTTATCGCTGTTTCCGAATGCACTGAATGATCCGTCAGTCCTTTGAAAGGTCAGTTCTCTTTGGTAACCTTCAATAATCATGCATAAAATTTGAATCTACTTATTTAAAAAATTTTGTCAAACTTGAAGATTACAAAATTTCTTTAGGGTATTTGATATTCAAAGTATCCCAATAGGCATAAACTTCTAGCATTATTTAAACATGCTTATTTGTTGAAAGCAAAAAAAGATTTCTGATCAAAGTTTATTAAATTTTCAGTGAGAAATCTGAAGATTTATAAAATTTAAAAGCTTCTTTTATGATCGTTTATTTATTACAAAATAATTAGACTGTCAAAACTAAATGTAAAGTTCTTATGGGGAGGAGGCTAATATCATCATGATAAATTTACCCGATAAATGGTCAATTAAAAAATTTTTGAAAAAGGTTATTCTTATTGATTTCGTGCTTCAAGGTTTAGTTTAGAGTTATCATACTTAACCGTTCTAATGTGCATCATATTTTTAAATTACTAAAACATTCAAAAAAATCAAGCCGCTAAAAAAATTAATAAATTTTTAAGCTCATCCTACCAGCAATTATAAATTCTTTAGCTTTTTGATCAAACTCATTTGTTAATTGTCCAGACTTAGTGAGATATTCCAGAAGAAAGACATCAGGAACTAGGTGTAAAAGGTTCTGTTCTCCACAACCGTAGGGCATTTTTAGTAAATTATCAATGTTGTTGAGTGCGGATCCGATGATGTCACCTGATATCAATATATTTTAATGAAGGTATGAACAAAATTCAAAAGCTAGTGTTTTTCAGAATATCAATTTGATTGAGGAATTAAATAATTACCCAACCTACGACGGAAAACTCAATGACAGCAGATCCAGCTACATAAGTATCATTCGAAGGTAATGCCACTTGGAAATCAGTTTCAAAACTCTTTCCAGGTGAAATTTGGATGAACTGTGATGTGCCGTATGACTGAGTTTGTCCTTCAGGCTAAAATCGTTTGATTTTCACATTTAAAAAAATGACATTAACAACGGTAAAAAAATAATTTTTTTAGTAAGTTACATTTTAGGCAATAGTTAACTCACTTTAACGAGCAGTGTGGCCTTCATGGCATCAGCAGCCAACCCTGCATGAGCACTGACTTCAATGGGTATTTGACCGAGTGCAGTGGCAACCACCCAGAAGTACACTGACTTACCGTCATTGTTTGCAACCTTTAATCCAATTTAAAACATAAGTTTTTTTAGTTATTATCATATATCATTATAATATATTATTATTACCTGGATGTTTTTTATGACATCAGTAGACTGAAGTTGTTTGTTATCGCATTTTATTATTTTGAAATAAGTTGATGCCAAGAGTTTAATTTCTGTCTAGAAAATTTTTTGTTCAATTATATGCAATTTATAAATGTGTGATGAAAGTTTTTTGCCAACCTCTAAATCTTGACCAAAATAATTGAAAACTGTGACTTGAAGTGCAAATTCTTCTCCTCTCACTATAGAATACGGCAGGTTCAACGAAATGAAGAATGGTTTTATGACAGTTATCTAAATATAAGTTTAACCCTTTAAGTGTCAAAAACATATTTTTTTTTAATTAGTATACTTTTGCAGAACTTTCTGTCAATCCCAGACCAACTTCCTGGTTAACCGAAAACCCACTAGCAACCCACGATGTGATGGTATCAGGAACTTTTACTTTCAAATGGTACGACCCATCGGAACTGTGTTAATTTCAAAAACAAAATAACCGTTAATATTGATCTAATATGACTAAACACTCAATGAACAAAAATTTACTTTGCAATTACGTCGGACCAAATCCATGTCTCTGGGAAGTCCTGTCTGACAGCGGAAGTAACCGCTGGTGAAGATGGAGAGGCAGGAGGTCGAGAATTAAGACCCATTGTACCTTATCAGGATAAGATAACATTTTCCATTATTTACTTTATTAATTTTGATGAATATATATATATATATATATGTGTATATGTGTATGTGTGTGTGTGTATGTGTGTGTGTCTGTGTGTGTGTGACTGTGTGTGTGTGTGTGTGTGTGTGTGTGTGTGTGTGTGTGTGTGTGTGTGTGTGTGTGTGTGTGTGTGTGTGTGTGTGTTATTGATGAAAATCACAGCATGTTCAGCGTTAGTTAGCTCCCTGTTTAGTTAATTTTTCGATTTTCCTAACGATAGATCACAAATCTTTGTCAAGTTTCTTGGGATCAAAACCAAATTTTTATATATTTTAAGCAACATTTGAACATGGTAGAACATTTTAGCATGCTAGTACAAAAAAAAGCTATTTTCGGTATTCCTATAGCATTTTTGCTGTTCGATTTGATAGGTTGTGTATGTGACCAAATGCTCAAGTTTATATATACTGTGTTTCTACATTGCTAATTATTTGTTTCCTAAACATGAATACTTAACGAACATTTAATTAGTTATTACGATCTTCAACTTTGTGCAATATTACACTTATTACATATATAACATTTATTAATTAATTTACGTGTCTTAATAAATTATAAATAATAAATAATTTTATAAATAAACTTAAAAACAGAGAAATCATCGACAATAATGACACGTAAAAGTGCATAACGCACAATGTTGAAGATCGTAATAACTAATTAAATTACCGTAAAGTATTCACGTTAAACAATAAAAGAATTAACCATGTAGAAACACAGTAAATCTAAATATAAACTTGAGCATTTGGGAACATACACGACGTATCAATTCAAACAACGAAACTATTATAGAAATAGCGAAAAAAGCTTTTCTGTTCTATCAAGCTTGAATAAAAAAAATTGGTTTTGAACTCGAGAAACTTGACAATGATCTACTGTTAGAAAATTCAAAAAATTAAACATGAATCTAACTAACGCTGAACATGTATATGTATACATTTATTTATATATATGTTCCGTGTTAGTTAGCATCCTGTTTAATTTTTTGATTTTTCTGACGGTTTATCGTAAATCATTCTCATGTCTCTTGAGTTCAAAACCAATTTTTTTTATTTTAAGCATGAGAAAAGTTTTTTTGGAATTCCTATACCATTTTCGATGTTCGAATAGATACGTTGTGTATGTGGCCAAATGCTCAAGTATATATTTATATATATATTTGAATTTGAACAGAATTTTATTGGGCAAAAGCACCGGAGATCAGGATGCATATGTATGTGTACACCATTTTAACTAAATACTGTGCAAAGAAGTCAAAAGACAATACAAAGTGAAATTAAAAATTTTTTAAACAATAAACAAAATTAAACAGAAATATTCAATAAAAGATAATTTAATAAATAAAAATTGAAATTAGCATGTGGTAAAATGGTTAGATAATATGAGCTTTAAAATTTATGCTTTAAAAAGACCCAACGAAGGAGATGCCTTAGCATTATCCGGTATGGAATCCCAAAGACGCATTGCTGAAGATAATGCTGAGTTAAGGAAAAAATTAGATCTAGGCTTAAAGAAGTAGAAATCAGGATTATGACGTAAGATTTCACGTCTTGTATTCTTAAAAACAGCAAGTTGATTATAGAGCGATTGACAGAAATTTAATTTATATATTTTAAAGAAAAGAAGTAGAAGATAGCCAATATATAACTGATTAATACTACGAATATTAGCTAAATGAAAATATGGAGTAATATGATCAATTTTACGTAATTTAAAATAAATACGAATAAAAAAGTTCAGAGCTAATGTCAATAAATGAAGATTACATTTAGGAGCTGAAGCCCAAATAGAAATGCAGTAAGTCAAATAAGGTAAAATGAGAGAGTTATATAGAGTTTACATAGTGAGCCTCGGAAATTTAAACCTTAAGCGATAAATTAAACCTAATTTTTTTTATAATTTTCATGAAACAAGTTTTATGTGAGATAACCCAGATAAGTTGGATGAAATATTAATACCCATAAACGTAACAGAATAAACTCTTTTAACTGTACAACCATTTAAAATTATAATTGGAAAAACAATGTCAGTTCTTATCTTTGGTGTCTTTTAAGTTTCTTTATTTTCAATTATTCTGTTTTTTGACATAAAATTGTTCTTCAAATCATATGTTAAAGCCCCTAATGTAGAATGAGTGAAATTTTTACAGACATGTAAAAGGTGGTATGTAAGGAGCAGCCGCCCCAACGAGAACTATTATAAATATTCAACTACGTACACCAGGAATCATCCCCACTAATAAGTTTAAAAACAGAGGAATAGAAAATAATTTCTTGTAAAATGAAAATTAAAAATACTTTTGACCAAATTCAATAAAATTTTTATATGTTTTTTGCATATTTTTTTTGTCGTAAAAAAATTCCAAACCATAACTCCAACAAACACAGAGAATTTATATTTAGAAATAAAACAAATTTTCAAGACCAACATTCATTAGTTAAAAAATAGCTTATTTAAATCAAGCGTCAACATTTTCAAACTACCCTGCAATCCCGGCATTCCGGGCACTCCACTCCCGTTTCCCGTTGGCGCTGCTTTTCCTATCATACCATCCTTCCACATGTCTGTAAAAATTTTACTCATTCCAAATTATAAGCTACAACATAAGATTTAAAATGCAATTTAGAGTCAACAAATTGAATAATTGAAAATAGAGAAACCTAAAAGCGCACATAGTTTATGTGAAACATTATCTAACTACAATTTTAAAAATTTAATACAAATCCTTATTATTATCGATGCCAAACAAAATTTGTTTAAATAGGAAAAAATAGTTGAATTGAAGCGCAGACTTTTGAAAATGATTTCAAATAAAAAAACTGTAATCTAAGCAACTAACATCTGATCGGCGGACTTTGGTAAATGTACAAATTCGACAAAATAAACAACCCTGCTTTCTTATGTTGAAAGACAATGAAAAAATGTAAAATTAGTGTTATGTTAATATTGGTCATTTTGAAAACAAGATATCTATCTACAACGTGTGTTATTTGAAATTGTGAAATGAAGCGCCGATGCATTCAATTCAGCGAAAAGACTTACCATAAAAATATATATGCTCGAGTTTTTTCACAAAAAGATTGGTCATTATTATCAATCCTGCATTCTAAAATTTAAATTTTTCACCTTCATTCAGCAACTTCAATTAGCAACTTCAATGAGCAGCTTCATTCAGCATTTATTTGCATTAAACATCTTGATTGAACTTTTCATAATTTTTTGTTCCAATAAAGTTTGATTTAAATTTATTATAAAAATCTATTTAAAATTATTAAAAACCTTCTAACATTAAAATAATTTAACTGAAAAAAATTATAATTTTATACAACACAAATATTATTTAACAACTTCAATCAGCAGCTTTATTCAGCAGTTTCATTCAGCAACTAACATCAATAACAGCGGATGTGTCACTGCCTCCCAACCAGATGGGCAACCAGCACCCAATGCATCGCTTTCGCCTCGCGATGCCCATAGGAACGGGAAAACCACGATCACCACTCACTTCCGAGTATGTTGATAGTTCCGATTTCACCTATCAATAATAGTTTATAATATTATATTATAATTATTTATTCAACGATAAAAACAAAACAAACCACGTCTTGAGTGATATCATTCCCAGATCTTAGAAGCAGCACCGACTGATCCACTGCCAAAAGACCCACAAACGAATTTGTTTTCGTCTTTACGTTCAAATAGACATTTTCATCTCCTGGTTCTGTTTGATTTTTGCTGAAACTCAGAGAGATCTGTAAAGATAATCTCATTATAAAAAACTTGCTTCATAATAAACGCAATAAAAAAAATTTCCCTCTTCAAACTTTTTTCAAATAAATTTTAAACTACAACATAAATTAACTTATTTTTTCAAATTTCAATGAAACAAATGTGTGAGCACCTTGTTAGCAAAGTAATCAACTACAGGGATTGCTAAGCTATCAGCAATCAGTTCACCGTCAGGGGTAACATAGGAGACCACAAATCTCGCTTCAGGAGCCATCTTGACGGCCAGCTCAGCAGTTACGCTAACAGCGAATGTGTGTTCAGTATGTGAATCAACAGATTTCACTTGATTTCCAGCAACAATGAGACCCTTAGCCAGAATCTGTCAATAAAAATGAACTTTAAATACAATGCAATAATACTCAACCAATTCATACCCACCTGAAACTGGAAATCTTTGATCGGGTTGACAGTTTTTACTTGGAATTGCAAAATCGTGGATGGCTATGAAGATGTATACTGGAGTTTAATACTCTAAAATGAAAACACAATACTTAAAAAATAACCTTGATTATATTTTCAGTACTTTTTAATGTAATTTGAATTCCTCCTTTGTCCCTTGTTTGAAACTTGGTTACATATTTATAAACCATTACTGAAGTATTAGTTTCTTCGTCATTAAAAGATGCCTGTACAAGTTTTAAAAACTTCTACAATCGATTCGGAGTTTGCTTTTATAAGCATATTTTCTAAAAATCCCAGAAGCAATAAAAGGACTTAATTCATTTTAATACTAACTTCAAAATTCAAACTGTCAGATTTTTCTGATGTATTAAAAATTAAAATGGCATATCCATTTTCTAACAGCGGGGAAGTAAATTTTTTTTCTTTTTCCTGATTTGTAAATCTTGGAGAGAGAGAATTGTAAGAAGTAGTTGACTTGATGCTTATAGATTTGAATGACCCATCACTATTCTGAATATCACTCAAAGAAGGAAGACTGCCGTCAATAAATTTCAAACTCAGCTGATGTTGGTAATTATTATAATTAAATAAATAACTTTAAAATTGTTTGAGTTGGAAAAAAATTATATTACTTTGGAAGTTTTACAATTTTGAGACTTACATAACCGTAAAACATTAATCCAGGCTTGTAGTTATCGGGGGTGTTAGCTAAAAATTCTAACTGGAATCTTTGTGTCCTGCATGTGACGTCATTCTTACCCGACAAAAGGATCCCGGTTTCGGTTTCAGTGACATTTGCTTCCACAGAAATAACTTGCCAATCTAATGTAGACCAGGGTTGGGTAACTAGAAGCAACGTCTTTAACTCGCTCACCGTCAGTGAGAAGTCCCCTTTACCATCAATCAACTTAATAAGTTAATTTAACTTCATAAAAATCATACATAACTCATTGGCAAAAGTGGACTTAATACAATTAGAACAACAAATTAACTTAACTTATTCAATGTGGGAATAAAATCTGAATAAACAATAAAAAACCTGCACAAATTTTGTAATTTTTGGTTGTTGCTCTGAATACCACCATTGTTTTAACTTGATTTCAACTCTTGCTGTACCCTTCACTGGCTGTCCATAAGTGTATCTTCGAAATTCAAAGTAAGCAGTTTTAAAGTAAAATGTTAAGCAGAATTATTATGTTACTATTCTCCGGGTTTAGTAGATATTTTATTTGGAATTTAAATAAAATACTAATGGGGTAATTTACTTTGCGATCACCGAAACTTGTAGATTTTTTTGAAGATAGGGTTTGTTCACGTTGTAAAGGAAATATGACGGGAGTTCAACTTTTATTTCAAACTTTGGTAAAACTGAAAAATATTTTAAATGAAAATAATTTGTTTAACGAGTTCATAAAAAAAACTCATACCGTATTCGGCGACTTCAATATACATTTCTTTGCTGGCGTACTACGAAAACAAAACCAAAATAAATTCTAAAAAATTGTTAGTCATCACAAGGCAAAACATAAAAAATTTATTGGTAAGAAATATTCAAACTTGGCTTTCAGCTTGAATTTTCCACTTGCCTAACGATGTTATGTCAGTCAGTTGTAGGCTGCTTGTAATTACGCCTACACGTAAGAAGTAATTACACGTGTATGCTTATTTGAAATAAGACGTTTTAAACTTAAAATAACTAACCATTTTCGTTCTGTTGATCAACTAGCTTTAATATTTTATTGGAGGCTGTGTCCTGAGTTTATATAAATAACAAAAAATCATTTTAATTCTTAATTTTTATTTATTTAGTTGGTCATCAACTGCAATAAGGATTTTAAACTGTATAATCTGTAACCCTACGTTTTGCTTACTATTCATGATTTTTTTTTTAATTTACAGATTGCACTGTCTCCACTGTGAAACTGTCATTCCGTGCAAAAAATGAATTTAAGAACGAAATCTTTTTGAAATAAAAATATTTAGTGGAAACATTAAATGACATTTAATAAAATGTCTGGAATAAAATGTGTAAGACAAAACCTTGAGTTAAGATATGCAATATCACCAAGTTAGCTTTATATCTCAAGTAGATTTATAAATTTGATATTTTATATCGCGTTTGCTCGTGCAGCTTTTATAATTGTTACATATTTGAAATTGTGAAAAACATTCTGTGAAAAACCCTCTGTTGAACTAACGAATATGGTCACGTTCATCTTTCCATTGTAAGGTTTCAAGTCCGGATTGATCGCTATCACTCTGAACAAAACTGTTTCCATTGAACAAAAATAAAATAATCAGCGTTAACGGTAGTTGAATGAAAGTTGCAGGGTGTTATTGAAAATTTAATTCATAAAAGAAGATAAATATTCGAATAAATACGATCGCTTGTCAGATTAAATAAAAATTATGAAATCTCATGTCGTTTGAAGCATGCTTACTTTTCTGCCCGGGTTTGTACAGGACCTTGTCCGTCTGTATGAAGATGGAATGCACTTTCCTGTTGACAGCCAGCTGACTGCTGTTGCTGAAGTTGACTCCTTGTGATGCACTCACAAAAAATGTGTAGCTGCTGTCCGGTAAAACATTTGGGATCTAAATTTTTGTACAAGTTGAAAACATTTGTGACAATTTTCAAACAGGTTTTACTTGGCTGCCATTAATTATCAATATATAATGATATTTCGTGAAAGCATGAAATCGATTTGTCGTAAGTGGATAGCACAACATGCTTACAGTTATGGTTATTGGCTACTTCATTCAACATAACTCAATGTTCAATAAATATGTTAAAAATATTGGATGTACCTTGACTGAAAAAACTATTTTGAATCTATATATGTGGCTATAATAATTTAAAGTTCAACTATTTCTTCTATTTCTTAGCATTAACTTTGGTCGGATGTCATGAATTATGAACTAGGAAACAAACGTTGCAGAAGCATCAAAATAATAAGTGGTGGTAATTCATCTGGTAGAATTTATTGAGTTACAACAATAAAATAGTGTAACACGCCGAACTCAGAATTAAGTGGGTGATTAGAAAATATTTGCATGGTAGAAGACAACGTATCAGATGAATGAATTTTATGAGTAGGTAAATATTGCATATCCCTCTAACTTACTTGCAATGTCAGGACTTTCGCCACATCTGAATATTGAAATAATTAAACAAACGTCAATAAAATAATAGTTAAATATTTTTTTAAATTAGAATTTTCAAAAACTTTTAGCTCAGATATAATATAAATCTTTTGATTTCATTTTTTTTCGAAAATCTTACTTGTTTTAAGGTTGAACGTGCCATTCACCAAGATAGGTCCAGAACCTGCCCGAATACTCGCCTCGAGCACAAATTCCACGTCCTTACCTCCCTTCGTCATCAAACTGAACAAATATTTGATGCCAGGTTTAATCATTTTCGGAGCCACAATGGTGTAGGATCTGTTCAGGATTTTAAAACATAAACGACTTAGTTACTTCTAAAATTATTTTTGTTTCTTATCAAAATCAATCCAAAAAAATTACTCAAAAACGAATAAAAAGTATTGTATTTTTAAAGTGATGTTGTTAAATTTTTAAAACGATTCATTAGGCAAACATGTTTATGAAAATAGTCCATTGAGGATAGGGCCGATTAATGAGACAATATAGTTCACAAATTTGGAGAAAAAAAACATGATCAATAGCCAGGTATATAATGCAATCTAATGCTTGTTGCTCATATTACATGCTAGCAGGAAATTCGTCGAGATCTCTGAAGACATTCCATTCACTCTGATTGGAACGTCGAAACTTGATGGCATTAATTTGTACTGCTGACACCGTCGAAAAGATTAAAAAGTTTATCAAAAATAATCGTCCTTACAAAAAAGTTATCTTAGGAGTTTTATTGTGCAAGATATTTTATATGTGCCTAGCCATGCCGCATTTGTCAAGATTTTCAAAAACCTTCAAATTCCGTTGTAGTAAACTATAAATATTTAACAAATTTATAGGAGAATAGTTACCAAAAGGTTTCTCAAATTATTAATAAAACCGTTGCAAAAATCATTAAATTTTTCAATTTTATCAACTGAAACAAGATGTTGAATTTAACATATGTAATTCTTGCATGACAAAGAATTTAGTTTTATTTGTTTATAACTTTTAAAAAATAAATCTCATTTCGTTTTGTTTCGTTATGCAAGATATATCGCATACAATGTTTAAAGAACTCTGGTGAGCTGCCTCCGTCTTCTTGGTAGCTCTTTGCAGCGGAAAAATTTATATCGACAGAAACGCTCCCAGGTCAAAGTTCATGTCAGTTAGTAAAGTGCAATTCAATCAATGTTGTCATATGACAAAATAAAAAATATTATGCAACTGCTAAAATTGAATATTATAATAATTACATAAACTATAGTTGCAATTAATAATAGACTATTTTCAGCAGTACTTTATTGTCAAGAAGTAAGGGCACAGATTTGGTATTTGTACCCTGTAGGGCCAACTAAAGGCTCGATTCAACCCCGATTAGAAAAAATGTTGTAATTTTATTTCATCTTTTTAATTTTTTTAAAATGACAAAAGTTTTTTTTACAAACTCTGCATACTAGTTATAAGCAGGGACTAAAATTATTTTATTACTTCATCTCGTGTCAGGCTGTCAGGTAATGTAAAGGTACTAACGGTGTGTATGATGCCACCGATGTGAACCCACAGAGAAGCATGAAGATGGCAGCAAAACTCATCTTTATCACCATGGTGAGAGTCTAAAATTTTTAATTTTTAATAAACAAATAAATTGAATAAAATTTCAAAACTAGAAAAATTACACGTTATCACAAAATGTTCATTGTTGTTTAATCGCTGAAATGTCAACTATAAATTAAATTCAACAAACTATCAACTAAAATATTCCACTAAATAAAACTCACCACACGATATTTAATTCTGAACAAGAAAGGCCAAATATTAAAATCAAACATTCATTGCTTAACTTCTTTTATACTGCTAGAGGAGTTCTGTTGTTGTACACGTTCACATACATGCACGTTGTAACGTAGAAGAACTGAATGACATATTGTTAGCTCCTATTCAATATACTGTCTATTATTATTATTTTTCTAGAGTAAATTTGGTTTATATTCTTAATTTTAAACAGTGTAATTTTTTTTATATATTTTTTTTGTTTAAATTTTATTCTACTACCAAGTTCAACGGGGTATTAATTTTTGTTATGTTATATAACGATACATTAGGTGAATAAAGCATCGAAATGTATAAGTTTAGAACATGCTGATGTATCTTTTCAGAAGGTTTCCATTTTTAGGTTTACTAGTTATGTATGAAGTAGTCTACTTTATTGTGTGTTTGTTTATTGTTTCAACGCAGAATTGCTTTAGGCTGAGTAGGGAAATCCGTTTTTTATTTTTATTATTGTCGTAATGCGGACAGAATACTGTAATTATTTTACTGTAAATAAAATTTTCCGTTAAAAAGTTGGATTTTTTTATTATTTTACTACCAAAATGATATCAAAAAGTACATATTTCAAACATGCATACATGTCATAATGAAACTGACAACGTTAAAGCGCATAAAACGTTATAAAAAAATTTATTCGAACTTCAATTAATCTACATTTAAATTTAATTTAAATCTAAATTTACAAATTTAAATTTTAAAAAAAATCATCAATGTAATGATTATTTTTTAAAAAGCTTTTGTTATATTAGAATTTAATGTTAATTTTATTTTGTTTGTTTGTTTGTTGAAGGAATTAAAATTGATCTCAGATCTTAAAAGGCTTTCTTAAAACTTTTTAAACAGTTTCAGTTGACGAATGAATTCTGTCGTCTCAAGCTGTAGAATTTTTCGTTCTTTCAGGTTCATTTGGCTCAAATGCCATTCGTGCAAAAATCACAAATCAAATGTGCGTTCTTTAATGTGTAGTGTTTGTGTATATCATTTTACATGTGCGTGCCCATGCTAGATGCATAGCGTTGTTACATTAACAATATCATATATTCATACATTTAATTAGAAAATTTAAATAAAATTGTTGTTTTTATGAAACATTCACCGCAGAATATTTGGTGTACACTTGGCTCTTATTTTATGTCAGGCATAAATAGGGTACACTATTTATTAGACAATTTTAGCAAGTGAATTTTTTGCTTAAACCAGCCTATATGAAACAATATAACATAATTTTTATAATAATAATGTAAATATTGATAAAACTTTTACTATATTTAAGCACATCAAACTAATACCGAACAACAAAAACAGACATCTTTATGCGTTGTAGTCTTTACACTGCACGATTTAGGTTTAATTATAACCTAATGTGGCGAACTAACTTAGACAGCAGCATAACAATGGAAATATCTGCAATAATATTACGTGCTATATCCGATTGCATTTGGAGTCAACTTTTAAAATTTTAACGTTTCATATCTAATGTGATTTCAATTATTTTAAATTGATGAGATGATTCTATTATTATTGAAATTATTCAACTAAGCAGTGTACGTTCTTAAAAGCCATTTCTTTAGTTTAAGCCTAGCAAAAACACGCCAAAAATTGTAATAGCAACAACAACATGACTGTTGCTTGCATGACTATAACAGAAATACAAATAAAACATGTTTAAACATTTATATCACCAGCATATTTAAAATGTTGTAGTATTTGGTGTCAATATAAGATTTTTAATTAAAATATACATAAACATACTTAAAATATGCTCGCCAAGCTATTTTAGATTGAAACTAATGCGTCAAACTATGCGTATCTTGGCATGGAATAATGACGATTTGTTCGCCAAAGCCTGTAATTATTGTTAAATAATAAATAATTAAATTACTAATTAATTAATTCAATTTAATTGAGTATGATAAAAATTCGTCGGATAGGGTATCCCAAAATACGACGACCGTAAAAATATCAGTTTAAAAGGTGCATTTGAAGTTTTGTCAAGGTGACCAAGAGACCGTTTTTGGTCTAGGAAAAAGTTTTTCCTGTGGCCCACAGTTGAGTTGATAACTTTATTTTGCTCACTGCCCAATTTTTAACAGATTTTTTTCATTCTGATTTCAATTTAGGACAGTAAGTCGCCCGTCAAACTTGTTCATGATTAGTTAACCTCACATGCGGCACGAAAATCTTCGTGTTGCCAAAACTTTGAAACCCAGGGCAATCTGGGCATCCCGGATGTCAAACATGATAAGATGACACAAAGCAACTACATAAAAAAAAGGAAAGAATTAAAAAATATTATTTATAATGCACATTCAACTTAGACCTCGTTAATAATCATTTGAAAGTCGTTATTCAAACAGAAGGATTGTTTGTAAGAATAACGTCATAACCAAGTGGTGGCAATCCTCTATTTAAATATAAGTCTTTGATCTCAATGTTTAAAGTAATACTTCAAACTGAAACAATATTTATATCAATAAATTCTTATCAGGATATTAAAAAAACATTTTTACTTTATTTTTTCTAACTAGTTTTTCCAAATAATCGTTTGAACGATTTCTGAAGGAAAGATTTTATATCTTAAAGAGTTTTTATTTATCTTGAATGTTTTTATTTGTTGACGTAATTGAAACTGCGTTAAATTTGAAATGCGTAACAAATCATCACAATGTTAATTAAAATCCTACGCGTTCTTTCCCAGAATATCATCTGGAGCATGCTGTTTGAGTCACGACATCGTGTTTGCTGTTTATTGTATGTTGTATGAATTAATTGCGTTCCATGATTATTATAAATAAGGGTTGTATATCGATTAAAGTATTAATTTTAATTAATCTTTGAAGAAATCGATTAAAGTTTTAATTTTAATTAATCTTTGAAGAAATATTTTGAATAAATTTAAATTTTATTTTGAAACGTGATAAAATGTTGAAAAAAAAAACAGTTCAATAAACTCTATCGTCTTCATCATCAGCGTGTCAACATTAGAAAAACAATTTTATCACGACTTAGAAATTTTCATTGTCACGAATAATTTTTTATTTTGTTTCAGGGCATTTACCGCGTGTTGAACACGATAATGAAAATTGTTCAATCAAATCAGAATTATATTAAAATACATTTCCTTTCGTAATAATTTAACGCCATTTTTATTTCTCTTGTGTAAATATGCTTAAATGTTTTCTATATTAACTTTAATAGTGACGTAAATATAAAATGGTGTATTGTGTTATATGAACTGAAACAACAACAAAAATTGTACATTAGCAGAACTCTCTGCTAATCCCGAACCTGCATCATGGTTAATTGTAAACACTGAAGCAACCTATGACGCTTCGATTTAAAATGTATGCATCTCTGCTTTTTGTGTATCAGTATACACACATGCATGTCTACACATTGAACATTTATGTAAGTGTTTATTAATCTATTGTATACATACAACATGATACAAAGCGTAAAGTATTATGGTTGAATTGCTTGAACCGCGTGTTAAGATAACTGACTTGATTATATCTTATTTACTTTTCATTTACCTGATATTAACACTAAGCAGTGCGATTGTGAAATTTGTTTACCGAAATGAGTTAGCATGAGAGATGCTTGCATGTATAATTCCACATGTTTTCATCAAACATGCAAGTTTTTTAATGTATGTGTGTTTACCGGTTTGTTTTTGTATATAATGGTATTTACATAAATTGATCAAGAAACATTAATTCAATTAGTCTTAAATTTAAAATAATCTAGTAGGTTATTGATTAGGATGTGTTGAAACAAAATTTTATGCTGGGTTTGAGATGCAACCGATGCACAAACCAGACTTCAACAAGTTACAAATAATCATATAAACTTTTGATAAATGTATTTCTAAAGTACAAACAAAATTGTTTAAAAACAATCGAACATTAGAATTGTTTTCAGTTTAAGAATAATGGAATCAGAATGAAATCGAATGATTGCAGTTATGTCCATCAAACGTTCGACTAATAAATTAGAAGCGGTATTCAACAGCACTGAGGACACGCCCCTTCCCACGTCTGTCCTGAAACTGTCGAATAAAATCCTGTAACTGGTGTTCCTGTTAAGTGGTTTTTAAATAGTTTTTGATTACCTTGCATCAGCAACATGATTATAATATATTGGAATAGAATAAAATGATATGTTAAATGAAAATCAAAATAACGAAATTGATGTTGAATTGTGATATATGAAAAAAATTGAAAATTAGAATGAGCAAATTTATTAAAAATTACCTGGTTCGTAGTAACGGTACACTTTAACGAGAGCCGGTTTAACATTTGCAATCTTCAGTTGTTCTTGAAGTAGGACGTCAAACTTCAGTGGCTGAGAAGTGAGCTGATGTGTTGAAGTAATACGGTTTCTAAGTTAATTTATCGATAAACATTATTTCTTATTAACAAAAGTAGAGCCCATCATATCACACATCTCTCTTACAAAAATTGAATTTATCAACTGTAAAAGTTTATTGACGCACCTCATCCAAGTAGATGACAACTTTGTTCGAGCTCTTCTCAACCTTTTTGAATGTACTTCCAATCTGTTGGATGAAGTTTCCATCATCGAGCAGGGAGTAACCAGTCAGGATGTTTATTTCCACGACTACCATTCCCGTCACTTCAGATCCACTCCAGCTTGAACATTAAGCATTACAGTTAAATTTGCAAATTGGCGGAAGATGTATAAAATAAAATTACATAAATGTCGTAAAACTCAAATAAAAGGTTTCAATTACAGCAGATTTGTTAGTTCATTCATTTTTAAAATCAAATAATATTCGTTAATAGATTAATATCAAATATGACAATTTATTATTTTGATCATTTAAAAACAAATTTTGTTTTAAAATGTTTACCTGGTTGAAACGCTCAAACTGAGGTCATTGTTTGAAGAGCTGGTTGACAGGTCGAGAGTTAGAAACTGATCTTTATTGTCATTCTCTACGTTGTATTTTACGTTCATCTGTTACAGAAAGTTATAGTAAATGTTAATTTCATACTTTAGTTCAGTTGTTGGTTGATCAAATTTCTAAACGAGAAATTAAGATACTTATTAGATGAGATGAAATTTATGATGAAGTTTTACCAATAAGCAGTTTGGCGAAGAATTTAAAAATTTGTAGATGATATTCTAAGTATTCTAAAATAAATTTTCACCTGAACAAGAGCCACACCTTCACCTTCAGCTAACAAATAGGCAAGTGAAGTTGATTGTGGGAGCTTTGAAAAATATAAGAGAAGTTAGAAATAAATCACTTCCAAAATATTAATTTGCATTAAAAATAAGTAATTCTATACATTTATTTTTAGGCCAATAAAATTTTTTAATTGCCAAAATCGTACTCAACATAAAAATCCTTACAATTAACATGAAAAAATTCAATCTTCAATTATAAAATTTTATGACATCAAAAACATGATACACGAATAATAAAAAAAAAAGAAAAAAAGAAATTTGCTTCACAGACCTGAATGGATTGTAGGAAGAGAGCGTTTTGTCTGGTGACGGTGTCGAAAGTATGGGAGAATGATCCACTCTCGTCTGTTACAGTTACAGTAATTCCTGCTCCATCGCTTGATGGAATGATTAAAGGTGCAAATGACGCCAGTGCTTCCAAGCCCAGAACAGTGTCCTGTATGCAATTTCCATTTGGTAACGTGTGCAAATAAAAATCAGCCAGTGTTTTATTATAACTTTAAAACATTTTTGGTGTATTCATTATAGACTCTAGCAGTTGTTTGAAATCTAAGACCGTGAACCTGGGTACTTGCGAAACCTCCGAAAGCATTCCGTTGCTTCAGAAGCCATTTTCCAATCGGTATTGATTTTGAAAAGTCTTTTTTCTCCGCATAGACCATGAGGACGTAGGAAGCAATTTCAATATTGTATGACTTGGCTTGCGAATAAGGTCCTCTCCAGATGCCTTCAGAGGTACTTTCAATCACATCTTTCTTCCAGTACGTCACTCCATCTGAAGACGATGGAAGATCAAATCAATAAAGTGCATTACACATTATTCGTTCGTTCGTGTGATGTTTACAACACTGACCTTTGTTGATTGCCAGCTTGTCAAGCAGTGCCAGAGTATCAGTCAGCTTTAAGCTTCCAGACTTGTGGAGGGCGTATGAAATGATGGCTAGAGCATAGGGATCGTTGGAATACGAATGGAAATTGTTCTCCAAATACTTGTTGGCGTTGTTGATGGCCGACGTCAGTCTTGCAGAATTGGTCTGTGTTGACGAATTTTTTTAATTAACATAGCTGATGTTTGTTTATGAAAATTTTAGTAAATGGTCGAGTAGAGTATTAATAAAAAAATTAACCATGGGATTATTTTTGTTTTCTAGTAAGGCTATCAAAACGTATGCCGTCAAGGCAATCCCAGATGACGATCCTCCCTGTAAAAGACATGTTTGGTTTCTCACTCGTTCGTTACAAATGATTATGATTTAGCATTCAACCTGCATATCCTTGTGAATAACTTTACCCTCGGGAGGCTCTGCAAACGTTCCATCAGTGCCTTGTAGTCCAATTATCCAATTCATCGTTGCTGCTATTTTGCTGTCTTCAACTGGAATGTACTCTTTTGCTTGGTGGAAACATTTGATAACAAATGAACTCAACCTGAATTTAATTGATATTTCATTTTAGAACGTTTATAAATTCGTTCAAATTTTCAGAAGTTTTAATGTCTCACCAAATACTTCCAGCTTTGTCGCTGTTTCCAAATGCGCTGAAAGAACCATCCAACCTTTGATATGTCAACTCCCTCTGGTAGCCTTTCAATCACAACAATATCAATATAACTCATTAGTTTGCAGGTTTCAGAAACAAATTTAATTATGGACAATTATATATAAAAGATAAGAATAATTTTGTATGCTAAAGACATCAAAAGTTGTATTATATTTCATTCAAAACTTACCATCGTTGATAAAATTTTTAGCTTTTTGATCAAACTCTTGAGTTAGTCGTCCAGTTTCAGTGAAGTATTTGAGAAGATAAACATCAGGAACCAAGTGAAGAAGATTTTGTTCACCACAACCGTAAGGCATTTTCAACAAATCTCCAATGTTGTTCATAGCAGAACCAATAATGTCACCTGCAATTGTTCACACGTGTTAAAAGTTTGAAAATAATTTTTGATCAATATTTGTAATAATTACAAAATTTTAATGTCAACACGGGGTACAAATTCAGCAATACATAAAAAATTAGGACAATTTATCATGGTTACCAATTACAGTGAATTCAATGACAGCTGATCCAGGAACGAGAATGTCCTTCGATGGTAATGCCACTTTAAAATCAGTATCAAACACTTTTGCTGATGACAGTTGAATGAACTGCGATGTGCTGTATGACTGAGTTTGTCCTTCGGGCTTAAAACAAATGTTTTAAACTTTTACTTGAAATGTTTTCAGTTGTTGAGACTTTATTTAAGTCTACAGCAGGTACTCACCTTAACGAGCAGTGTGGCTTTCATGGCATCGGCAGCCAATCCTGCATGAGCACTGACTTCAATGGGTATTTGACCGATTGCAGTGGCAACCACCCAAAAGTACACTGACTTACCATCGTTGTTTCCAACCTAAAATATATACATGTTTCAATTTACATGTTTGAATAATTTAGGTGTAAACGTCTTGATTACCTTTAAATGTTTTACGACCTCGACGGATTGAAGTTCTTTATTATCACATTTTATTACTTTGAAATAATTTGATGCCAAAAGTTTAACTTGAGTCTGTTTAAAACGTAAGATAAATGTTATTGTAAATTCTTATAATTGTATGATACAAATATCAACCTGATATCAAATGTATTTTAAACATGAAGTCAATTATTAAAAAATAAATTCCTCACAAACCTCTAAATCTTGACCAAAATAATTGAAAACAGTGACTTGAAGAGCGAATTCTTCTCCTCTCACGATGGAATACGGTAGATTCAACGAGATGAAAAATGGTTTGACGACAGTTAGCTAAAAATTTTAAACGGCAAAAGTAATTGTGATCTAAAACTTTTAAAAAAATTTACCTCAGCGGAGCTTTCTGTTAATCCCAAACCTGCTTCACGGTTAATTGAAAACCCTGTAGCAACCCATGACGTAATAGTATCTGGAACTTTAACTTTCAGCTGATAAACTCCGTCGGCGCTGTTTTGCAAAAAGTTATAAAAATGCATACTTTTTAAAATGCTTAAACTTTTAAGAAATTATTATTTTTGAATGTAGAGGTAAATACTTTGAAGTAACGTCGGACCAAATCCATGTTTCTGGAAAGTTCTGTCGAACACTAGTTGTTTCAATTGAATCGGGAGTTGAATGTTCTTCGGGGTCTGGATTAATTTTTCTCAATTTATTGTTGACAACGTAAAATTAGTCTAATTTAACATACCTGTCCTTTTTTTGTTTGGAGTGATCCTTCTATACATTATATTCTTATGAGAATCTTTTAAAATATGTTTAATTTTTTTGATTTAATTGTTTCGGTTGAATTTCAAATTAACAAACATCCACTAAAAAAACAAATAACAAATAATTGTAAAAAAAAAATCTTGGAGTCTTAGCAATTTCAATGTAACAACCTGTTAAGTATGTTATCTAACGTTGAAAATAAAAAGAAAAAATTTTTCATACAATTTTTTGTTAATTTGTAATGTCATCTTTTACAGCGAAACCCAAACTAAGTTTTTGTTGTTTGTGTAACAGCTTGCGTCTCTTTTTTCTCTTATCAATGTTTGATAGCTTGTTCAAAATAAAAATGATCCCATTCAGATCCCTCAAAATATTTCGACCGACTTTTACACCGACATTCTGGTTTTCATGGAACTCTGAAAATACATCTTCTATCATGTCCTTGTTGCTTATGAGGAGACGCTATTTTTGAAATGAGTCTTGGTGGAAAAACTTAGTTTAACTTTTTTGTCGATTATATATCAATAACAAAAAATCAATAAATTTGGTCTAAAATTTAGACCAATATGATGTAACTACTAATTGACTCCGTGTTAATAATTAGCAGCTAAAGAATTGTGAAAATTTGAAAAAAAATATCATACAAAATTATAAATTTCATACCCCTAATAACAAAAATATATGGTAAAAAATATAGTAAAATAAAATAACCAACATCTTCTGTAGAGTGGAGTTTTTTGCACGTATAGATTTGACAAAACGAAAAGACCAGCACGCTTTAATTCAAGTTACATTTTAAATTTCATTTCGTTGCAATATCAATTTCAATATGAAAAATATTTGAGTTTTATAAACTTTATCTAACAAAATAAAGTTTTTCAACATCAATCTTCTGATGGTCAAATGCAAGTGGGCATCAGTTTAGCGCAAATCGTAATTAGTTTAAATTGAAAAAACAACCCATTAAATTCATATAATAGCAATAACATACTACATAATATGTCATTCAAATGGTTCACTAGACATTTTTAAATCAGTACTGTTATCAAAAATTGCTTTAATTAATCATCTTAAATATTCACTCATTGTTTTTGCTATAAAGTAATAAACCATGGCAAAGTGAAATGCACCAACATCGATGACAGAAAAAGTTTCTCTCCCTCCTAGCCAGATAGGCCACCAGCATCTGAAACATCTGCGTCCCACAGACCCAACAGAACGGTGGCCACCACTTTTTACTTCTAGATAAGATGACAACTCACTTTTCACCTATAGCAATCAAATTTTATAGCAAACAAGATGAGTGAACAACAAAACAAACAACACGAACCATGTCTTGAGTGACGTCATTTCCAGAACTCAGCAACATCACAGAACGGTCTACGGCCAACAATCCCACGAACGAATTCTCCTTTGTTTTTACGTTCAAATAAACATTTTCATCTCCAGGTTCGGACACGTTTTTGCTGAAACTCAGAGATATCTGTGAAAAATTTTGACTAATATAACATTTCATTTGCACACTTTTACTTAAATGAAAAAAGTAGTTTTTAAATCATTTCAAGGTAATTAAAAATTCGAATTAAAATTTAATTGTATTACCTATTTTTATATTACACAAATACTAGTATTGATTTAAAAAGCAAATAACAAACGTAAGTCATTTCTATAAAAAAAAGGACAACCAAATGTCAATTTTTCAAGCTTGAGATTACCTTATTAGCAAAATAATCAGCAACAGGTAGTGCCAAACTGTCGGCAATCAGTTCACCAGAGGGTGTGGCATAGGAGACGACGAATCTGGCTTCAGGGGCCAACTTCAATGATAGATCATCCGTCACATGCATCGAAAATGAATGTTCCGTTTGAGCGGTTGCTGAAACAATCTGCTTCTCTGCTATAATGAATCCTTTTGCCAAAACCTTTGATCAAAGATAATTAAAATTTCACATTTTATTAACTGGTGCTTTTATATTCATACAAACTTGAAACTGAATCTCTTCAACAAGGTCAATTGTTTTCACTTTAAATTGTAAAGTTGTAGATGGCTGTAATGTAGATGAACGATAGCTTGTTAAAATGTTCAATAGGACACAAATACAAATTTGACAAGAAAACCTTAATTAAATTCTCTTCGTTCAACAGACTCAACTGAATGCCTCCTTTGTCTCTAGTTAGAAATTTGCTGACTTCCTTGATGGTGCTGACCACAGAATTTGTTATTTCATCTTTGAACGACACCTGGATTTAAAATAGTTTAAATTCAGCTCATTAAACATTTTTTACAAGTCAAAACAAAAAAAATAAAATATTTATAAAAGATATTTTATTTAAATAAAACTAATTTTAAAAAATAATAAATGATATTCTTTAATCAAAGACCATATTTACTTACTTGAAAAAATACGCTTCCAGATTCTTTTAATGTTGGAATAGTAAAAACGACAAATCCGTTTTCTGTCAAAGGAAGTGACAGTAATGTTTCGGCATTGGTATGTATTTTTCGGTCGTAGTAAGAAGCTGTGACATTTATTGTCTTGAATGACCCATCGCTGTTCTGAATGTCACTCAGTGTTAGAGGGCTCAAATCATTTTTCTTCAAACTCAACTAGAGAGTATCATTAAATAACTTAATTAGTTTTTTATCTGAAATTTTTTCACTGAATTATTTCAGATTTTTTCCTAGAATAGATTTATAAATAAAACATTTAAAAAAGCAAAAAGGTTTAGCTTACATATCCGTAATAATTTAATCCTGGCTTGAAGTTATCGGGTGAATTTGATAAAAACTCTAACTTGAACCTTTCAGTTTTGCACTGAACCGTATTATTTCCCGACAAAGTGATTCCTGTTTCAGTTTCGGTGACGTTAGCCTCTACGAAGAAAGTTCGACCAGCTAAAGTTGGTCCACCATGGGATGCTGGAATTAGTGTTTTCAGTTCTGTCAGCGATAGTGAGAGGTCACCTTTTCCATCAGTCAGCTAAAAAAATTTTAATTTAAAGTTTAATAGATGAATAATTTAGAATTATTTACTTTTTAATAAAATAACAGAAATTAAAAATTAAATAGTTACATGGATTAATTTAGTAAACTTTGGCTCTTCTTTATTATGCCAATAAGGAGTATCGATTGTTACTTCTACTCTAGCTGTTCCTTTGACTGGCTTGCCATAAGTATATCTGAAAATAGTGCGTCAAATATTAATTTATTATTTCGTTTAGATTTTTTAACTGCAAAAAAATTTAAAATGTACTTGGCTATCACTGAAACTAGTAATGGATCCTGAAGAGATGGTTGATTTCGGTTGTAAAGAAAATAGGAGGGTAGGTCCACCGTCACTTCAAATTTAGGCAGAACTGGAATGTTAAAAACTTTGTTTTAATATTGAAAACAAATATATTAATAATATTAATTTTCTTACCATATTCGGCAACTTCAACAAATTTTTCAAAGCTGGTAAACTGCAATGTTTATAAAAACTTTGTAGAACCATAAATTTACTATGTAAAAAAATATGAATAGGACACAAAATTATCATGAAAAGTTCCTGACGTGAGTTTCTGCTAAAATTTTCCACTGGCCCAGCGCGGTGATGTCCGACAAAGGCAGGCTGCTCGTGATGACGCCTAACAATTAAAATTATTTGAACAATATGCTACTTTCAGACGATAAGGGTTATTTCAACTCACCATTCTCACTTTGTTGGTCTACTAATTTTTTTATTTTGTTCTCAGCGGTGTCCTGAAAATTCATCGGAAATCCAAAACGTAAATTTCATTTCTTAATAATCAGAAGTTTAAAGAAATCTAAGAATGTTTACGTGCGAAATAGCCATGGATGTATATATCCATGGAAATAGCATTTATTTATTTTATTCGTGAAATTTTTTCATTAAGTGTAAAATTAACATCCAACTTACATATACTGTAACGTTTATTTTTCCGCCGAAAGGTTTCAAATCTGGAGTAACCGCTATTACTCTGAATAGGACTAAAATTGTATGATATTGAAAATCATTTATTTAAATATAAAAAATTTTTGCTTGAGACAAAAAGCAAAATTTATGCCAACATAATTGTTAACAAAGTTTGAGATATTTAATAAATCTAACCAAGTAAGATGTGCGATAATAAAATTGTTTAATGTTCAGTTTACAAGTCTCCTCGTTGAGACACCTTAGCGCGAAAAATAAAAAACGGTTCGCAAAACAAATCAGAGGTTACGGTGAACTGGAACAAAAAATTTACTTGTCTGTCCAGGTTTGTACAGGACCTTGTCTGTTTGGATGAAGATGGAGTGCACCTTCCTGTTGATAGACAGCTTTCTGCTGTTGACGAAAGTTATCCCTCCGGATGCACTCACTGAAAACGTATAAGTGTCTTCTGGAACAGAGGCCGGAATCTGAAATTTTCAACAAATCTAGGAGAAATATATCTTCATTGAATCTTGAAATTTCAACAAACAACAAAATAATTTTATAATATAAAGTTTAATTTCAAAATAATATAAAAACATCTGTTAAAGTAACCTCCAACGTTAATAATTTTGCGTCGTCTGAAAAAAATTAATAAATAGCGGTTGAATAGTTTTCAACTGTTGATCAAAATTTTTTTTAATTGAATCAAATCTGAGTTGTACAACTACTGATTTGTGAACACGGAGTACACCAAAACACTCACTTGTTTGAAGATTGAACTTGTTTTTAACCAAGACTGATCCAGCACTCGCTTTAATACTTGCTTCCAGTTCAAAGTCAGCGGTTTTCTCTGTTTTCGAGGTTAAACTGAACAGGTATTTGTTGCCAGGTTTCAAAATCTTCGGAGCCACAACAGTGTATGATCTGAAATCGTTTTAAAAACAAAATTCAATATGTAGTGTTTGTATAAGAAATGCGCTCAATAAAATTTTTTGTAGTTTTGATGTTAAACCCCACCGAAATGATGTATTACCATAAACCGATTGAAAATGATTTAAAAAACTATCGCCAAACTAGTTACCGGATAAAAATGTGAATAAATGTTTGATTTCAATATAACGAAGCCTGGTTCACCCATGTAGACATGTTGGAGAAGCTTTAAAGATTTATTATTCTAAATATTTTCTAAAAGAAAAAGATTCTTCTTCTACCGAATTTTTATATCAAATGAAAATTGGTTTGAAATCAAATTTTATATATTTCATTTTACAAAAATAAAAATAGTTGGCTGATAAGTAAGAAGATTTAGTCACTAAACTATTTGTAGGTACGCAACACATCATAAAAAGCTGGTACAAATAACGATAACTGAATAAAATAGTTTTTAAATATGATCGGCTTAGAAAAGTTATTAATGTACGTATGAATGATTTTGAAATAGTCTACATATGTTACACAAAACTTCTAAAACATCTTGCACCAGCACATTTACAGCGAGAAATACTGATTTTATAGTTGGACAAAGCCGTGAATCAACGTTCAATCTCAGTTGTGAATACTAACGGAGAGTAGAAAGCCGCGGTTGAAATTCCAATAGAAAGTATTATCAAGAGAAGTATTTTTAGCGCCATTTTCTTGCGGATCTAAATATTTAAATTAAGTTGTTATATTTTAATAAAACATACAAAAAAAAATATTCGGTAATTGTAATCGTTATAAAACAAGCGATGTCAATGAAACAATATTCTTCATTTCTTACGCTACAAAATTATAAAATGAAATATAAAATAAAAACATGCAATAAAATAAAGACAACCACACAACAACGCCACTTTTGATCTTCACTGAACAAAATGCTGCTTGCAATATGTCGCTTAATTATGTGGGGAAAACAATTTATATATCTTCAGCGAGAGTAATTGTAATCGTATGTTGTCATTTTAAACTTGACATTGTTTAAGAATTGCATGGTAGATGGTGTTTATGTATATGTAACCGCTGTATGTATATATATATATATATATATATATATATATTTATTTATTTATTTATATCGTGTTTATGTGTTTTTGTAAGTGTGAGTGTGTATGTGTGTGAATTTTTTCTTATGGAATCTAAATTATACTAACTCTAACTCAACGTAATGAAAGTTAAAAACCTTTACAAAATCGTTGAGCACCAACTGCCATTTTTTTATGACCCAGCTATTGACATTACTTTGCAAAGAACTATCTCACTGCTAGCGACCTACAACAATAACTATTCATCGATTATCGCCCAGCCGGCATCTCTTACATCGTCACGTTCGTAATGAGTTTTGGAAGACTTGCAATAATAACCTCGTAACCAACTGTTAACAAAATTGTAATAATAAATAAAGCCTTCTGCTGGCCCATGAAATTTTAGAAATAACGCATTGGTGTAGGCCGTAGAGATTATAAAACTTGCCCTGACCTTATATGCGGCCCTCGATTGCAATTCAGGTTTGGTGCCCTCCTAGATAAACCGCAGTACTACAGTTTTCTACATTCAAATTTTCAAAAACATTACTCTATTTTAACGCAAATGATATCAATTTTAATTGTACATATTAAATATTTATAAATAATTTTCATTGTTCAGAAGTCTAAATTGAGACCTTATTATGGTATTTTTAAATAGGAATATTAGAAATTTTGCCGCCCAGTGCCCACTTCTCGCTTTGTCACTGCGATGACACGGACATCAACGGTACAAAACACGAAAGAATCCTCATCTGTAGCCAATATCGCAAAAACTAGTATTTTGCGTTCTGTCCAGACCGGAGACACACTAACAAAACATACACAAAAAGTCTGAAATTTGGCATGGATAACCTCTACTTGACCAACCTCAAAGCTGAATAAGTTCAACGAGAGCACTCAGAATGAAATGAAACAAAATGTGCTTTTAATTCAACTACTCCAAATAGAAAAAAAACGTCAAGTTTATCAAGCCCGGCCTCCTTCCATCCAAGTTGATATTACTTTGCTTCGATTATGCCGTGAAATTATTTCGTGATAAATACAAATATTGGTAAAAATAAATAGTACATAAAAAACTTATTTAAAATTAAAAAAGTTAAAATTGAATGATTTTTATGAAATTTTTTCTATAATGCTTGTTCAGTTATTTTTTAAAAATCAATATATTTCATTTGTGGCAAAACCAAAATTTTTTTGAGGGGACAGTTGACATTTCCGAAAAATTGACAATTTTATTAAACTGAATTTTCCTAAAATATTTCATGGCTTATATTAAATTATTCAAAAATAATTTAAAAAATAACTTGATTGTTCCAAAGAAAATTAATTATAAAATAAATTTTACTAGGGTACCCATTAGCCTGCGGGCCTCTGTTTCTTTTTTTACCCAAATTATGCATTGAATTTGAATATCAGTTGAAACACTTGAAATTATAAGAAGTTATTTTGTTAAAAATTGAAATAACTTTAAGTCAGGGTTCAATTGATTTAATTTACATTGGCATCTGCTTAAAAGGTTCAAACATTTTTATCTGCTCCTAAAACATTTTTTTATACGGAAGAACTAATCACTGCTCAGGCAGATTATTTTTGCCTATCGCCCATCTAAGTGTAAATTAGATACGTTTGGAGGGATTGTTTTTAAATTCGGAAGTTAATGGCCTTATTTGCTCTTTTCCGTTTACTTGACTGCTACATTCAACACTGATCTTTAATGTTTTCATGATCTGGTGGGCCTGCATTCCTGGATCTGCCACTGATGGTAGCATGCTTTCTGTATTTCATTTAAACTCCGTTGTAAAATACAATAGAGCTAATGGCTATCGAAAGATTGAAGTGTTTGTCTTGAAGACTCTTCAACGTTATATTTAACATTATTTTCTCTATGTTTAGTAAGATTTATTTTCCACTATTTATTACATATCAATACTTTCTACGTATTGACGTTAAAAGTGCAAATCTCGTTTTTTACTTTAAATCCAGATAAACATTTTTCGAACATCATGCATATTTATCTATATTTATTTAGATTATAAGGAACAGATGATACAATCACATGAGCTTTAAAATAATCCAAAAACATACTTTTTTTTATCATTTTTTAGGGCTATTGGTCCTTTGCAAGTTAGCCGTATTTTTTTTACCAATTTGTTGATGATGAAAAATTTTGAAAATTACCCATGACGCTTGTTGGAGTAATGCTAAACAACTGCAGCAAATGCTGAAGATTGTGAAAAGAATTGAAAATTTGTAAAGCAAACCTCTTATAATTATCAGTATAGTTATCATTGATTTGTTTCAGTTTAATACCTAAAAAAATATAAATATTCACGCATCGCACATTTCGTATGACATATACGATATATTATTAATATATACCTGTTCTCAGTTACAGCAGAACCAGGTATCTTCTCAACCTTATCTTACCTCACAGAATTTGAATTCAAAATATTTTGTAATGATTTCTCTGATTATGAAAAAATTTTAAATATCTAACATTTTGTTGAAAGTTTTTTTGATGTTATTTAGTTAACCTTAAATGTAATGATCAATCAATCAATCTTCGTTTTGCGTCCAGAGACCCAGTTTCCCGAGGTAGGACGTTGTTTTCTTTGCCATCAACTTTTTGCGCCAAATTAGACGATCAGTTGTATCCATTATTAAAATTTAGAGCTTTTATGTCTTGCTCGATTGTTTGCGACCAGGACTTCTTTGGACGGCCTTTGGGACGTGTGCCAGGTACTTCAACATCTGCAAGAGAAGTTATGGCACTGTTTCCACTTCGTTTGACATGACCAAACCACCGCAGACGGTGTTGCCGGCATTCGTCCTTTATATCATCTAAACCAGCACGACGCAGGATTTCGGTAGATTTGATGTGGTCCTTCAGACTAATTCGTTGCATCCATCGGAGCATTTTCATGTCGGTTCGTTGAAGTTGTTGTTCCAGTTTGGTTGTCATTGGCCATGTTTCTGCACCATATAACAACACCGGACATATCACAGATTTATAAAGTCTTGATCGTAGTGGTAGTGGGATGTCACGCCGCATCAATATTGAGGCAAGGAGATACCATTTATTCCAGGCTGCACGTATGCGTGCTCGAACGGCAGCTTCAGCTGTTCCAGTATAATCCAGAACATCCCCTAGATATTGAAACGATGTGACTTTCTCTATTTTAATGGCTTCGAAAACAGGGCTATTTTGAATTTGTTGTTGTGGATTGATGCAAGCAGGACAAACAAAATTGGACACTTTAGATAAAGTACCAACTATTTTTGAACAACGTTTGTGACACCACTGGTTACACTGCTGACACTTGATTGAATTGTTACCTACACCAGCTTTACAAACTGAACAGGGCCATCGTCCAGTAGATGTGGATTGGATGGGTTCACCAGTGTTCATTGCTTTGGTTTTGCTGATGTTGACTTTGAATCCATGATCGGTGAGTCTGGTGTTCCAATCTTCAAACATATGTGCTGCATTCTGCTCAGATGTGGCTGTTAAAACGATATCATCAGCATATACTAGATTCCAAATGTCACCAGTGCGTATCGGTTTTGTGATTTCTTCCATCGCAGTTATAAATAAAAGTGGACTGAGAATCGAGCCTTGGTGAACTCCAACGCCGATGTCAAATGCATCTGTGTTCCCAACCGTTGTGCTGACGAGAGTCTTAGTATTCGTATACATTTCCATCACAAGTCGAACAAGATATTTTGGAATGAGTTGTCGACGTAGACTCCACCTGATTGCTTCACGGGGAACTCGATCAAATGCTTTTTTAAGGTCTACAAAAATATGTAATAGTTGTTGATGCTTTGCGAGGTACTTCTCTTGCAGTTGCCGAAGGATGTGAATTGCATCAATTGTTGATTTCCCCGCTAGAAAACCTTATTGATAATTTCCGATTGTGATGCACGACGTTAATCTTCTCTCAATAATTTTTTCGACAATTTTCAGGGAGTGTTCTAACAGACGTATACCCCGATATGATGAACAGTTCAATGGATCACCTTTACTTTTCATGCTATTTGCTTTACTATCATGCTATAGTTCCATTCAGTCGGCATTGAGCAATTTCTCAATATTTCACGGCAAAGTTGTAGTAACGTTTGGATACCTGCAGTACCAGATGCTTTGATAATGTCATTTGTGAGTCCAGAAGGCCCTGCTGCCTTTCCATCCTTCATAGCTTTTAGAGCTTCTGTAAGCTCCTCTATAGTCATGTCTGGAATCGGATCTTCGATGGGTGGAGCGTCAAAGTTAACATTGATGGGATTTGTTTCGTTTTACAGACGGTTGAAGTATTCTCTCCACTGTAGCTTGATCTCATCTTGTTCAAGAACCATCTCATTTTTGCCGTTTTTGATACATGAGGCACCAACTATGTCTTTTTTCGTACGCTTG